GGACACCAAAACTCTATAGATCCTATTGCTCAAGGCAATGCCTTTGCAGATTCACAAGCCAAGCTAGCTGCACAAGGGCCCTGCCCTTCTCATCTTCTCCCGTTAGTCCCAAACAGTCTACCTCAGCCTAATTACTCACCAGAGCAGTTACAGCTACTTCATAAACCAGGTTACACACAAAACACTCAGGCGTGGATTTTTCAGGGATCTAAACTTGTTCTCCCACATCAACAGGCCTTAGGCATCATTGCTGACCTACACAACTGTTTTCATATAGGATCACAGGCCCTATACAAACTCTTAGCCCCAATAGTCACACACCCTTCTCTAAAAGCTATCATTCTTAAGATTACTCACACCTGTGATCTCTGTGCCAGGACCTCTCCTCAGGGACATATGGCACCCCCTTCCTTTCCTACCCATCAGTTTCGAGGACACACCCCTTGTCAGGACTGGCAGATAAATTTTACACACATGCCCCGCCACAAAACTCTCAAATATCTTCTCACCTTTGTTTGTACTTTTTCAGGATGGATAGAAGCCTTTCCCACAACCAGGGAAACTGCTGATGTAGTTACCAAAGTCATATTACAAGAAATCATTCCAAGGTTTGGTCTACCTCAGAGTATTCAGTCAGATAATGGTCCCGCCTTTATTTCTCAGATCACTCAACAGGTATCCTCAAGCTTACACATCACCTGACACCTACACATCCCATACCATCCACAGTCCTCAGGAAAAGTAGAAAAGGCAAATGGCCTCATAAAGACACACCTTACAAAACTCACTTTAGAACTACACCAACCTTGGCCTCAACTTTTGCCCTTAGCCTTAGCCAAGCTTAGGGCACTTCCCCGGGCTCCTACCTTCTTAAGTCCTTTTGAACTTATGTACAGCAGGCCATTCTTACTCCACAATCTTCCTACTCCCCAAAATCTCCCTCCCCTGGCTGACTATGTCCCAGTTCTCTCCTTCCTCCGACACCTGTTGCGACAAAATGCTGATCTCTGCCTCTCACAACCCTCTGGAGAAAACAAACCAGATCCTCCCTTATCCCCAGGAGATCTAATTTATCTCAATGTTCTAAATCCACAGGACTACAACCAAGGTGGAGTGGCCCCCATCTGGTCTACTTGGCTACCCCTACAGCAGTCAAAGTTGCTGGACTCCCATCCTGGTTTCCCATCACTCAGGCTAAGAGGTGCCCTCTCAGCCCTAAATCTGATCATTCTGAGTGGTCATCTCATCTTCTGTCACCTACCTGTCTCCGTCTCACAAAGGCCTCGCAGCCACAGTTAACAGGCTAAGTCATGTTTTGTTATCCACTTTGGTTCCTAATTTCTTACATTCTATTAATGATCATTTTTACAGCAGGACTCTTGACAGTCTTTCCTAAAGACTCCCACATCATGCGTAAGATAATCTTCATAATGTTCTATATGATAACAGTTGCAGTTCTTTCTACCCTCAGCTGTCTGGTTAAACGTGACATCCCTGAAAGCCTAAGCCCTTACCTTCCCTATACTGGTACAGCCACTGCTTTCCCTACTCCCCCTATTTTTTCCAGTTCAACTCCTGGACCAGAGACAAGTTTTATACACCTACCCTCTTAACTTTTATGCTTTCACTTGGGGGAGTAATCACCTCTCATAACATTATTTCTCCTAACCCATTTAATTTTCAGAATTCTGCCTTACTGTGGAACATGTCTAAATCAAAAGCATCTTTCCCTCTACCTCACCTGGGTCCTTAAATATGACAGTGCCATGTCTCCTCATAACATCTTGTCTCTTTGTTTTTCCAGTCTAACATACGTGCACTCACCAGTGAAGTTGTCCTGGCCAAAACACCTGGCACCAGCGTCTACCTGGGCATCAACGTTCATCCTGTCAACTCCCCTAGGCTCCAGTACAGCGCCCTCTGCCAGCAGGAAGTAGTTAAAGAGAGAAATCTTCACCCCTTTTCATAATAATAATCATAAGATGGGATATGAAAGGGTTTTGGCCCAGACAGGACACTGTAGCCAGGAAACCCTCAGCTGAAAGCAGGAAGCCCCTATCTCCCCGACCACTAGGAATTTACCTGTGACGTCATCTTTCTGCCCCTGGAAACTTACACATGGCGCCAAACCTAGGACCAATGGGCTACCTGTGCATCTCTAATGCCCGCCTTAGGTTCCACCCCAAACTGAGGCTATTTACATAACCCCACACCACGTGTCCGCCAGAGAGATCGGCGGACGCCAGCGGTGGGGGGTGCCGGTCATCTCTCTCCGTGTTCTCAGAATAGAGGCCGCTTTTTATTTTATACTTCTCATCTTTTGGAAATATTTTTCATCTTTTGGAAATAATCTTAGGAGTACCTTCAAAACCCTTTCCAATCGGAAAATGACCTAATTATTAGTAACTCCTGTGTACCAGATAGTACATGTTTGCCTCTTGGCACTGCATAAAACAAACTATCAAATATTAGCAGAATTACAAATGAGACATTAAATTTTAATATATACCTTGCTTACTTTTCTCTGATTGCTGGGACAAAATACCCAACACCCAAAATTAGGGCAGGAAAGGTTAATTCAGCTTACAGTTTTTGAAGGTTTCAGGCCATAATCTGCTGGCTGCAAGGAGGGTAGGACGGCACTGGGGCAAAACTTCAAGGCAGCAGCCAGAGCAAAAACTGGGGAAGAACAAGCCTCTTTTCCTCCCCTATAGTGTGTGCAGGCCACCCCCTCAATCACCAGGGCAGATGTAGCACTCCCAAAGTCTCCTTGCTGTCCTTGCACAGGATGAGGATATTTACAAAGTAAGAACCCTGACTGCTGCTGAATCACTCAGTTAAACTTCTAAACTTCACAAGTTGACACAATGTATACATGTTTGCCCTTGGCACTCTATAAAAGAAGCCACTGAATATTAATAGAATTGCAAATGAGATTTTAAATTGAATTATGGAATGAAATTTATTATAGGTGATGCCAGGAGAAATAATAATTATTCTTCTTGCTTCTCTATCTCTGGTCCTATCTCTCCACTTTAGTCTTGAGAAAGTAGAGCAAAAGACATGGCATAGCAAAACTGAAATTTTTCATCTTTTAACACTTTAAATATCATCATACTATTTTTGTCACTAAACTTCTATGGAGTAGACCTGGCACTTTACCCAATAAAACATACAAACTTCAGAAAGAAAAAGAGGCTACTACACTGACCCTGCGCTTAATCCCAGTGAATTAAGGAACATATTTATACCTTCTGCAATACTTTTTTTTTTTTTTTGTCTTTTTGAAACAGAGTCCACTATGCAGTTTAGGCTGCCTTGGGCTCACTTTGTAACCCTGGAACTTGCAAGCAATTCTCCTGCCTCAGCCTCCCCAGTGCTGAGACTACAGGAGTAAGCCAGCATGCCAGGTTTTCTTCTGCAGTTACATTTCACATCACAACCATCTGAGGAAGGTATTTTTCACATTTTCCTTAAAATGAGCTCAGTTTATGTCAATTTGCCCAAGATCACAAAGAAGTAAAGTGTACATTAGACCCCCACATCCATTTGACTAAAACGGCTGCTTTAAAAGTGGGCTGGGGATAAAACTCAAGGCACAGTGCCTGCCTGGCAAGTCGTAGTGAGTTTGATCCCCATCTTAAAAATAAACAAACACTATAAGACAAGTAGACATTGTTGTGATGCTTCTCCAAGGCAAGCACGCTGAGAATTACTGTCAAGCATTAGAAGCTGGGAGAGGCTTGTGATAGATTCTTACCTCTCAACCTTCAGAAGGAGCCACTCTGAGGATCTGAGTTCCCGATTCCAGAACTATGAGAGTGAATTTCAGTTGTTTCAAGTCACCCTGTTTGTTATAAGCAGTCCTAGAGAACTAATATATAACACATCTCTAGTTTCGAGCAATGGTAAGGGGCCAGAAAAGATGAGGACAGTGACTGATACACTTATTCATCTCATGTCATTTTCTACTTTTGTGTGCACTTATGCTCATATACTTAACTGATTCCCAAGGCACCCTATGGCTCACAGGTAGAATATTCCTGAACACTTATATCAACCCTGTAGTGATTTATGCATACCAAGAGTCATTTGTGTTTCAGTTGTCGCTATTATTAATTTTACAATATGTTTTAAAAATAGAGAATAATCTCATAAAGGTTGTATATCAATCCATCCCAGGGTAGAAAATAAGAGCTCATTGTTTTCAAGGTCCTGATGAGTTTTTTGTAATTTAACCTTTTCTATATATGAACAAGCTAACCAAATTAAGTTACAGACTATGCATACACGGTACTCACTGTAGATGCTTTTTTTTTTTTTTTTTTTTTTTTTTTTTTGTGGTACCGGATATTGAACTCACGACCTTGCACTTGCCAGGCAGGTGCTTATGCCTGCTGAGCTAAATCCCCAGCCCTGGTACTTAAACTGTATATCGATACTGTATCCAGACATTTGATGATGAACTCACTTAAGGTCATACATGCAAGAAAAGGCGAAGTTGAGTTATCAACTCAAATAGTTCATGAAGGCGACATTTTAATTACTAAGGGATACTACCACTCTGCCTTAGCGCATTAACAAAGAAAATACAGAGGACCAAAACTATTTTTCAACTAACTCAACACTGTGCCCAAACTGATAGCCTACCAGTTAAAATAGTTTACAAAATTTAAAAAATAGACGCATAAATTTAGAAGAGCAGCGGCTTGACTGGCTCCCGGATCAAGTCTGCGGATCCCCAGACCACGCCTACCCTCCGTGAGCCACCTGCCTCCAACCCTTCTGGTATTTATTGGGAGTGGCCTTTCACTTAATTAACTGCATTAATTCTCTTTCCCCTTTCCCTGGTTTCCACTACTTCTTCTATTTTGGGGTTATCTTCCGCCGCTTTCCATTTAAGCTCTAAAGCCAGGGTCAGCGAGTTTCCAGCGGCTCCACCCGCGGGGCGGAGCCAGGCTCACGCACCCGAGCAGGGCGGCCCAGGCCCCGCCCCGTGACGCGGACTGCGCTTGTCCCTTCTGGCTTGCCGTCCTTGCAGCTATGGCAGCCGCCGTGCGTCCCCTGCGGCTCTTCCTACAGCCGGGGTTCAATACTTTGCGGACCTTCTCCAGCGCCGTATCCTCGGCCTCTCACTCTCGGAGAACTGGCTCGCGTGAGTGTCTGTCGTGTCGCCGCCCCCGGGTTTCAGAGGTGTGAGAGGGTGAAGTTCCGGCCCACGATGGCGCCGCGGTGACTGAGCTAGTGCGACCCAGAGGCGGTGTTCCCCGGGTGGACAAGTGCTAGCCGCTCCTTGGGAAGCTGCGGACACCAGTGTGTCTTCTGCTTGCAAACACGCCTGCGCGGTCTGGTGCGGCGCACGCCCCTGTTTGTCTCTGCTTCCTGCCTCAGCATTAACATCTGCAGGGGCTGTCGACTCGGATGGTACCTCATGTGAGAGGGGCACGAGCTGTGCCAGAAGCCACAGCTCTGAGGCCTAGATCACTAAACGTGATGACCTTCCAGCAAAGTATGGGGCGGCCTTCGCACCATGGAGAAGTCTGGTGCAACAAGTGTTTGTGTAGTGCGAGAGGTGCAGTAAAGAAGTGTGAACGGTGACTGGAGCTTTGGAGGAGGAAGGGAGGGGAGGAGCAAGTCTGAGCCCCAGGCCTGGACCACAAGGCCCTATGTTGTCTCAGATTTACTTTGTTTATGCTTCTCACAGCCCCAGTGAAGGCTACCCTCTCACTTCTAGAAATGCCTTATAGTTTTGTACTTACTAGCATTGAATTATCACAAGAGTTAGAGTCAGATGTTTAAAATGCAAATCTTGCCTTGCCACTCCCTTGTTGCAAAATCTACAAATGTTTTAAATATAAGTTCTTTACTGCATCATGGTGCGTTTTCGATCCCCCCCCCCATACATAGGGATTAAACCCAGGGCCTTTGCTCTAAACTGCATCGCTCCCTGCTCCACACCTTTTTCTCTACCTTTCTGTTTCTCCTTCATCGTTTACAGAAAGCCTTTCCATAACTCGTCACAGTCTGGGGAAGTTTTTATTTGTGGTTCCAGGGGGAAATTATTGGAATTCCAATAAATTAATTCCAGTCTGCTACTTCATTGCAACTCATGGCGAAAGTAAAAACACTAAGGAATATTTGTGGTTGTGGGGAGCCAAGGGAATCCTAAATCTAGCTAGAACCATGTCTAACTAGAGCAAAGACCTCGACCATTTTATTAATTCGTGAAGAGGGGAGTGGCTCGGGGATGAGTGACTGAGAGAAAGGTGAAAAGTATGTGAGTGCTGCGAGATGGGTTAGGTAGGAGGCCTGAAATTGTCTCTACACTATGCAGAGAGAGAGAAGTAGAAAGTAATCTGCGTATCACAGATTGGGGCAGTGTCTAGTGGTTTGGAATTGGTGCTTCAGTTTTGATGTGTAATTGTCATCCTCTGCGACATCATAGTTTCTTTTCTTTCTGTTTTTTTTCTTAGAGAAAAAAAGCAAAACTGAAAAAAGGGTAGAAATAATATAGAATTTTTTAAAAAATAAAAAATCACTAATTGATAGATTACATACTGTTATCTTAAAAGCCGTTGCTCAAGTCATAAAATCAAAGCATAAAAAGTGGGCAATCAAACAGTAACAGTACAAACCATTCTGTTTGGTGAACAAGAACTTAGTAGTATGGTTATCTATCTTGTACACTTAAACATACATACAGTTATATCCATTAGAGCACTTTCTTTCCCTTTCATTATTACAATGTCTATTATACCTTTTGGATCTTACTACTCTTTCAGTTTTTATTTTTTTTATACTAGAGAGACAATATGGTATTTATAAATGTGAGTGGTTTATTTTACTTACGAGGATAGTCTCAAGTTGCCTCCATTTACCTATAAAAGCCTCAAGATCATCCTTTTTAATAGTTCAGCAATATTCCCTTATATTTAAAAAAACCACATCTTTTTCATCTATTTTTCAGTTGATGGGCATTTTGGTTGTTTCCAAGATTTAGCTATTACAAGTTGCGCTGCTATAAACATGGGTGCACATATGTCGCTGAGGCATGACCTTTTCAGTTTTTCTGGGAAAATGCCAGGAGGGGAATAGCTGGATTGACTGAAACTTCCAAACCTAGTTTTTTGAGGAATCTGCCTACTGATTTCACAGTGGCTGCACCAGTCTACACTCCCACAAATAGAGGAGGAGTGTTCTTTTTTCTCCACAGCCTCGCCAACATTTGTTATCGGTTGATTTCTTGATGGTAGCCATTCTTTCTGGAGTGAGATGAAATCTCAATGCTATTTTAATTTGCATTTCTTGAATGACCAGTGATGGTGAACATTTCTTCATGTACTTATTTGCCATTTGTATATCTTCATTTAAGAAATGTGCGTTCATCTCAGATGCCCAGTTTTGCAGAGTGTCTTTGAATTTGGGGGCTTGATGTTTTTCAGTTCTTTGTTCTGGATATGAGTTCTCTGAGGGACTGTTGGCTAAAATTCTTTCCCATTCTGTGAGTTTTTGTTTCATTTTGTTAGTGATTTCTTTTGAAGTGCAAAAACTTTTTAATAGGACCTGGGATTTAGCTCAGTGGCATAAGCACCTGCTTGGCAAGCACGAGGTCGTGAGTTCAATCCCCAGCTCCAAAAAAAAAAAAAAACACAACCTTTTTTTTTTTTTTTGGTCTTTTTCCTTTTTATCGATACCAGGGATCAAACTCACGACTGCCTGCTTCAGGCGCTTATGCCGCTGAGCTGAATCCCCAGCCCCAAAACACAACCTTTTAATAAGATGAAATCCCAGTTGTTGATTCTTTGAAGTACTTCCCATGTGGTTTGTGTTTTGTTCATGAATTCTTTGCCTAACCCTATGTCTCTGAGATTTCTATCTACCTTGTCTTCCAGTGGATTTAGTGTTTCTGTTTTAATATTTAGATCTTTGATCCATTTTGACTTAAGTGCCTGAAGATAGACATGGATCTAGTTTCAGTCTTTGGTATGTGGGAAGCCAGTTTTTCCAACACCATTTATTAAAGAGGCTATCTTTTTTCCAGTGAACATATATTACCCCTTTGTCAAATATAAGGTGGCTGAGTGTGTTTGCACCTTTTTATCTGTTCCATTGATTCTCAGGCCTATTTCCTTGCCAGTACCACACTGATTTTATCACAGTAGCTATGTAGTGTAATTTCAAGTCAGGAATTGAGATGCTTCCTGCTTTGCCTTTGTTGCCCAGAATTGTCTTTGCTATTGTAGGTTTCTTCTGTTTCCAAATGAATTTTAGAAATGTTTTCTTAGGGCTGGGGATTTAGCTCAGCGGCATAAGCGTCATGAGTTCAATCCCTGGTACCGATAAAAACAAAAAAGACCAAAAAAAAAAAAAAAAAGAAAAGAAAAGAAATGCTTTCTCTAGATCTATAAGGTATGTTAATCGCATTTTAATTGGGATTGCATTAAATCTGTATAACAGTTTTGGAAATATGACCATTTTCACAATGTTGCTTCTTCCTAATCAAGAGCAAGGAATATCCTTCCATTTTCTAATATCCTTTTCAATCTCCATTCTTAGAGTATAATAATTTTCAGCTTATAGGTCTTTTACATTCTTGGCTAGGTTGATTCTTAAGTATTTCATTTTTTTTAGATGCTATTGTGAAAGGCAATATTTCCATAATTTTTCTCTCTGTGACTTTATTGTTTGTGTATGGAATGCTATTGATTTTTGAGTGCTGACTTTGTGTCCAGCTACACAGCTGAATTTGTTTATTAACTCTTGTGGTCTTTTTTTTTTTTTTTTTTTTTTTGTCTTTTTCCTTTTTATTGGTACCGGGGATTGAACTCACAACTACCTGCTTGCAAGGCAGGCTCTTATGCCGCTGAGCTAAACCTCCTTCCCCCATCTTGTGGTCTTTTAATGGAGTTTTTTGGCTCTTCTATATAGAGTATCATGTCATCTGCAAATAGTGATAATTTAACTTCTTCTTTTCCTATCTTTATTCCTTTTATTTCTCTCCCTTGTCTGATTTCTCTGGCTAGTGTTTCCAGACCTACATTGACTAGGAATGGTGATAGTGGACATCCTTTGTCTTATTCCTGATTTTAGACGGAGGAAACCTTTCCGTTTTTGTAAACCTGTCTTCAAGTTTTGTTAATCTATCTCTAGTTTCTGTCAGGCAATTTTTCCAGCTTTTGATAGAGTTTTTAGTTTCCTGGTAATCTCTTTGAATGGATTTCATGCATTCTAGATTTTTTTTTAATATATTCTTCATTGAACATTTCTCTCCTTTTTTTGTGTCTCTCCATTTTTCCATCTGTGTCTTCTTGAGAGGTACTTAGAATTTCTTTTATTAATCTTTTTATGTCTTGCTTTACTTGAATTAATATTTTGGTTTTGAGCTCATCTATAATGTCACAAAGATACCTCTTTATGTCCACACTGAAGCTGTGTCTGATGTTGCATGGTTGCTGCCCTCAGTCTCTTCTGTATTTACCGTTCCTGGATCAATATTCACAGGGTTGGGGGCTAGGGTTTTTTCTTATTTCTTTCTCTTGTCATGTTTTTGGTTTCTTCCATACAGGTGTGTACTGGGGGTCCCAGTCCCTTTCCTAATTGTTTATAATTCTTCTGAAGTGCACTGGCTAGGGATTTCTGCCCTCTCCAGTTTGCTGTTGGTCATTGAGGTGCAAGCAGGGGTGGTGTATGCTGACCCCTTCCTTCCAAGCTAGTCAGCCAGCGGGGGCGCTCAACACGTTGGTGTGTGGTGTGCATAAGGAATCAGTTTGGGACAACTTACTGGGTCCTGGCCAGGGGCATAACCCTGGCCAAACAGATCCCACCAATCTGCTCTGGGAGCAACCAGTTGAAGTCACTGTCATTCCTTGTTCATGCCCATCCTGCCTGATTGCAACATGTCATCCAATTGGTCACGCATTTCCCATGCGAGGGTCTTACTCGGAGCACTCACCATGGATTAGTGCAGGTCTCCTTTTCGGCTCAGGGACACCGGACTTCAGCGTGATCACCAATGGGTTGGGTGAGCATGCCAGGACCATGAGTTTGGGCGGCTCCAGCGAAAGCGCCTTGCCCTCAAATCTGAGCTGGTCTAATGGTAGCCCCACGACTGCATGTTTGACCAGCTCTTTTCCCTTTAATTTTTGGATCTTGGGTCAACAAGATCCATCTCCCTCTGTCAGGTCCTCTCCAGGATGTTTTATTCTGACATCTGAGCTGTCGAAGAGCCTTTCACGGAGGCCCTGTATTTTACTGCTTACTGATCTACCATCTTTAGCTCCACTTCCTGAACACTAGAGGATTTATTAAGAGTGCTCGTCACTGTGCCCCAAAGCAAAGTTTCTGATTCTGTAATGCGAAAAAATTAGCTTTTAACACAGTGTCTGCATAAGAAAGTGCTCAATAAATAAGCTATTCATATGTAGTGCAGCAAAAACGTTTAGAGAAGCATAAGGTAAATTTTTTGTGGTACTTGGAATAAGATAATATTTTAAAAGGTATAGTCATGTTACTAAAAAAGTAAGTTTATTTTACTGTGAACTTTAAAACTTAATGGAAAAATATTTTTAGATGGCAAGTTCACTGTATCAGCAGTTACAATAAAAACTTGTTGGGCTTTTGTTTTTCATTAAGGTAATTTTAGTCCTTGAGTTATTGTTTCTTTTTTATGTTAACTGAATATTGTGTTAGAATTAGAGAATAGTGATTTATGTTGAACAATTGTTATAAAATTTTCCGTTGTTACTGTTATCTTTTAGATACAGCAGAAAGAACATCCAAAAGTGAAAGGCAGATGAGAAGAAAGGTAAACAATTTATGTACTGTATTATGTACTGTCTTAATGATTTCTGAAATTCTAAGTGAGACAGATATCATTAAAATGTAGAAGATTGCTGCCATCAAAGACTTAAGCGTGCTGGGTGACTGCCACAGCTCTGGAACCAGTTAGTCTTTACTTGTGTGTGTGTGTATTCTTACTTAGAGAATGTGTGTTTGAGAGCCAGAGTCAGTTACATACTCTTAGGAAACAGGTATATAAAACTACTGGGTTTTTTTTTTTTCAAACCGGCGGTCAAACTCACGTCTTCACGCTTGCCAGGCAGGTGCTTATGCTGCTGTGCTAAATCTCCAGCCCAGAACTATATTTTTGATGGTACCTTTAGTAGGAGTGAAGCCTGGGTTTATGCATGAATCTAGGCCAGTTCTGTGTCCCAGGCCTGTTATGCACAGTTATTAATCTAACCAGCTAGACCCTCTGGGTGTCTGTGGAGGAACCCAAATTATAAGGTCAGGTGATAAGCAAGGAGTCAGAACATATGTTAATTGAAGCAGTAATTTTTACAGAAATATTACTATTTCTGGGACATGCACTGTACTGATATTTTGATATTTGCTTAAATGGATATTGCCATTTAAGCTCTACTTTTATATGTGGCCCATATTTAATGCTGTTTATGTATATTAATAGGATTAATTAAGCTATCAAGTAGTTTTTCTTTGGGCCTAAGTGATCTCTCACTATGTATTTATTCAATCTTTTTAATCCTAATTTACTTGTTTCCATGTTCTGACTCTTATCTTTCTTATTTTCTAGTTTGGTACTGTGCTTGCCAGGCACATACTTGTGCTAGTGAGCTATACCCCTAGCATATCTGTCTTTTAAGTTTTTCACATTCTGTCATGTATTAATTTCCATCAAAAAATTTTAGAAATTATGTTTAGAAATACATACAAATATTTAGAAATATGTTAGAAGTCTAGTTCAGTAAATCAATTTTTAGTGAAAGGAGTGTGATATTAAAGGGGATCTTTGCCAGAGAATTTGAGGAAACTGTAGTGATTTTTAGGTAGGTCTGATGTTTTTTCACTTGCATAGCAGCAGATTAGTTGGAAGTTAGATTTTATAATTAGTTTTTATTTCTCATAGTCACAGCTTTTACTTTAAAATTAAGGAATATATTTGTATTTTACAGTGTTACACATTTTATCATTCTTAGGCACTGCCTCCTAGAGCAGAGAAGATGGCTGTTGACCAGGACTGGCCTAGTGTTTACCCTGTTGCGGCGCCCTTTAAGCCTTCTGTGGTGCCTCTGCCTGTTCGGATGGGTTATCCAGTGAAAAGGGGTGTTCCCATGGTAAAGGAGGGCAATCTAGAGCTTATAAAGGTAAGGTAAATTGCTGGTCATTAACTAAGACTAGTACCTAAGTGAACGCTGACCTGTCCGCTTTAGGGTTCGGAATATGACACTTTGTGATATCTTTTTAAAAAGTTTTTGTTGTTTATAGCAGCACAATTTGTAATAGCCAGATCTTGGAAACAACCTAAGTGTCCATCAACTGAGGAATAGATAAAAAGATGTGGTATTTTTATACAATGGAGTACTACTCAGCTATAAAGAATGATCACATTGAGATATTTACTAATAAATGGGTGCAACTTGAGACCATACTCATAAGCAAAATAAATCAAACTCACATGTATAAATACTGTATGGTCTCCCTGGTGTATGAAATAATAAGAGTAAATAAAGAGTTTAGGGTAATCATGATTCCCTATTACATTGTTTTGAAGGCTTATAATGATCGCAGTTGTAATGTGTTTGTCCTGGTTTTTTGATTTTATTATCTGTGATAGTATGAACAGCTAATTTGAGGGAAACAAGTCATTATAATAGCCAGTGCTGATATAATATCATCTTACTCTGAAGTCCTACCATGATCTTGCTCTTCAGTTTCCATTGGCTCTGTCATGTTGTACCTTATTGGATTGTATTACCTGTGAGAGTATAAACAAATTTCCTATGGAAAATGAGATAATATAGTAGCCATTGTTTGTTTTCTGTTATTTGATTCTGAAAGCCCTGTAATACTCTCATTCTCTTGAATGTTTTTATACTATTTTGTTATGTTTGGTACTATTGTATATGAAGTTATATTCAACTATTTCGAAGAAAGAGACATCATGGTAGTTATTACAGGTTGTCTTCTGGTGAAATACTGTGTTGCTTACATTGTTCTGTTCTAGTCTGCTCTGTTATGTCCTGTTTTGTCTTAATCTCTTTAAAATAAAAAATAAAAAAAAAAGTTTTTGCAGGTGATAATTGTTAGTGGGTAAGAATGTAATTAATCAATTGTGATTTCTGTTGTGGCCTTTTCTGTTGTATCTTCTACATTGTATCCTTTAAATGGAACTAAGAAAAGTGAAATAATGTTGGACTTAGAATCAAAAAGTAAGATTCCACTTTTAAAACTTAATTTCCAGAAAGGATAGAATATTTAATAGTATTTTTATTGTCCACCAACTTTAACGTCTTTAATGTGTTTAAAGGGAAATACATCATTTTAAATGTTACATTTGATAGCATCTATATGATGTATGAAATATGTGGTTTTTAAAGAAAATATAGATGCCTATTGTAAGTCATTCTTTTACAGTTCTTACAGTGGAAGTTATACAATTGAAAAAGAACTCTTTTTTTATTAGAAGAGTCTTGAAAAACAGAAGAATTTGCTAGAAGATGTTGTTTAAAAATGAGACAGGAATAGAGAAAAGTGTTATTTTCTTCCTAGAGATTTAGGGTAAAGGAAATTTGGAAATGGAAATATTTCTAGGGGAACAAGAGGCCAGGTGTGGTGGTGCACTCCTGTAATCCTGCCCTCGGGAGGCTGAGGCAGGATTGCTACAAGTTCAGGCCGAGCTGAACTAATAGTGAAACCCTATCTCAAAAAGACACACACACACACAAACAGATGGGAGTTACGGGGAAACTCAAGAAAGCAAATATTAAGGAAAACAAATCTTCAAATTAAAAGAACTTAAGGTTTTTGAAAAATATTGAGAGTAACTACATTTATAATAACATTGATAGTCTTGAATAAACACAAAAATACAAACATTCATGAACATCATCTCCTCCTGGTAACAGAATTGAATATGCTTGTTAATTCAGTTAGTATATGCAAAGTACTTGAACAATGCCTATAAGTCCATGTAAACATTAAGTATTACTTTTTCCTTTTATAATCTTGAGGTTTATATTGCATGATTCAAAAAACAAAAGTACATAGTATGAAGTTATGTATCCCATAGTCCTAATGTTCACTGCCTGTTTTCTCTTGGTTAAATAGGATAATTAAACAATGATCTGTGTCCTTAAGTGCTTTCAGTCTTATTAAGAAAATGTATGTGTATACTTGTAGACTTATGACAGGAAGAATATTATAGAAATTATGTTTGTTGCCACGGATTTAGCTCAGCAGCATAAGCACCTACCTGGTAAGCATGAGGTAATGCGTTTGATCCCTGATACCAAAAAAAAAAAAAGACTAAAAGTTGTGTTTATTTTTACAACATGTTACCATAGGATACTCGGTAAAGGTGAAAGATTTATATGATTTGAAAATACACCACAGTATTATGGTACATTAATTGGTATTGAATATATATTGTAAAAAGTTTGTTCCTTGAATTGGTAAATTCTGAGACATAGAATTAACATAGGAACAGAACTGTCAGAGTTTATTTGCTGCATGGCTTATTGGACCTGTCACTTAATTTTATGAGAGAGCTGTCTTTTCCATGTTTTTATGACATTTAGCCTGATTTGGTAACACACCTATTGTCCTAGCTATTTAAGAGGTAGAAGGATCACCTGAGCCCAAAGATTTGAGACCACTGTGGTCAGCAAAGTGAGAACAAGGTTAGCAATAATCTCCAAAAAAGACATTTTGCTCTAATTTATTCTTTAAATTTCTTGTTTTAGATCCCCAATTTTCTGCATTTGACTCCTGTAGCAATTAAAAAGCACTGCCAAGCTCTTAAAGGTAAGTGATTTGTTTTTTAATGTAAACTTTATATTGACTTCAAACATAAAATTAAAAATCTTAGGTCTAGTGCCAGGGATTTAGCTCAGTAGCACAAGTACCTGCCTGGCAAGTGCAAGGTCATGAGTTCAATCTGCAGTACCCCCACCCCCAAAAAAAATGTGTTATAGAATCTTAGATTTGATGAGATACAGCCTTATAACCTTTGTTACACATTTTTCTCTCTTTTTTAAGGCTTTTGAAATTTATTTTCAATAAGGTTTTAGCTGTCAACTCCACAAGGCATTATGAATAATAACTAGAAGTCGGAACCATAGTCTTTGCTCACAGGTAGATTAGGGCCTTCCTGAGTTACAGAAAGCACATACATAAAAATACTGAAATTTTACCAGTAGGTACAACTCAATATGATTCAAACTAAAGGTAGTACAAAAGAATGTTGAATGGCAGAGCAGTCAATGGGTTTAGTCATAGAGTAATACAGAGAAGAGTTACGAAAAGAAATTACCATTAGAAGTAATACCTGCATATGCTAGATCAAGCAGAGGAACGTGTGATGAGATGCAAGTCCTGTGTGCTTTCTTTCCCATCTTCAGCTGCTCAGCCCAGAAATGTTCTTTTAATCGTTATTTAGTTCTAGTAATTACTTCCAGAGAAAGAGAATTTATTTATTTATATGTGCAATGTATACTCCGCGTGCTATGTAACGTATCAATGAATAAGTAATAGCAGTAAACACCAGATTATTATTGTAGATTTATTGGTTTTAAACAATATCCCTTGATTCCTAAGTATAAACATAGGTTTCATGTAGCACTTATGACTCCTGTTTTCTATGTGCATAGAAATGAAGGCAAATTTTTATGTAATTTGCATGTACATAGGTTAAGCACATTTGAATTTTGATTTACAACTACTGGTAGTTAATTATATAGTTTAATTGAAGAATTAGTACTATTAAATAAAGTCTTATTGTATTGATGTTGACTTAAAAGTGTATAAACAGGAGCCTGGGACATAGCTCAGCGGCACAAGCACCTGCCTGGCAAGTGCAAGGTCCTGAGTTCAATCCCCGATACCAAAAAAACAAAGTGTATGAACATTCAATAAAAAGGTGTATAAACATTCAATAAACTTGTTAAGGGAAGAAAGGTAAAACCTAGCTACATTTCATAGTTTGATTTTGCTGGAAGGAAAGAGTAGAGAAAATAATTGGGATTACATTTGATCTTTAGGTGAAACTTCCATTCAAAAAAAGTTGAAGAAAATATAAAGAGATCTTAAAACTGGAATAGAAACCTTACTTTTGAAACAAGGGAATAAAAATCTATTTTTAGATTTTTAAAGATCTATTATGTGGTCTTTGCTCTACAACCTTAGAATGGTTTTCTGTTATCTTGATGTTTGCTTCTGTGTACATCTGTGCTTAGACTTGGATCTAGAAGTCATCACTATTCCAAATTCACTTTCCATTTAGTGCGAATCATATGTGACTAGTCATTTGTAAGCCTTTTAATAAATGCATTACTATACATCGTGCAAAATTTCATTTCTCCATTTTAAACATTATTAAATGTATGTTTTAGGGGCTGGGGATTTAGCTCAGCAGCAGAAGCGTCTGTCTTGCAAGTGCAGGGTCATGAGTTTGATCCCTGGTATCGATAAGAAAGTAAAAGTAAATGTATGTTTATAATTTAGCAAAAGTAATGTTATTTTTTTACAGAACTTAAATGACTAATCTTTCCTTAATTATGCCTTACATTTCTGCAAGCCTATGGATTTAGATTGCATTTTCCAAAAAATTCAGTTTTCAAATATTTCTCAACTTTTCTTTCAGATTAGTTCAGTTTTTATATCTGACATGCAAATGGAAAATCTGAAGTATAGGAACATTGGATAATTTACCAGAACTTTAACAATCAATGGCAGAAGTTACATAATAACTAAGAGCTTTTGAAGTCTAGGCTGTGTTGGATGAGTGATGCTTCCATTTCCTGTGGCTTGAGAATGATACCAGTATCTTGGTGGTTTCTGGCACATGCTTCAAATGACTGACACTTTACTTGCAAAATCGTAATGGAGATACTTTTTTAAAATTCTTAGATTTCTGCACTGAGTGGCCAGCTGCACTAGACAGTGATGAGAAATGTGAGAAGCATTTTCCTATTGAAATTGACACTGTTGACTATGTTTCATCGGGACCATCTATTCGAAACCCCAAAGCCCGACAAGTAACCTTAAGGGTAAGAGGTGGGTTTTTTTGGATCTGTTTTATTTTACAGTGCTAAAGGCCAAACATGGGTTAGTCTACCAATGAGCTAGATCCCTAGCTCTTTTGTTTTTTTTTTTTTTGTTTTTTTTTTTTTTTTTTTTTTTTTTGTGACAGGGACTCACTAAGTTGCCTGTGCTAACCTTTAACTTGTGATGTCTCTGCTGCCTTTTTCCTGGAATTACAGGCATGTATTACCACACCTAGCTAGGGCTTTATGAAATAAGAATCATTGTAATACATTATTTGAAAATGTGTCTTATATGTGATTATAAAGCTAATGTTACTTCTGGAAAATGTAAATGTTTTAAATCATGTAATAAAATATTCTATTCAGAAATAATCCTGGTTAGCAACAGTAGCTCATTTTAATATACTCAGGCAACCTATATATATTTTGGTTTTTGGTTGGTTGGTTGGTTGGTTGGGAGTTTTTTGCAGGAGGGGGTGCGGTATTGAGACAGAGTCTAGCTCTGTAGTATAGACTGGTCTTGAACTCTCTTATGTAGGCTAAACTAGCCTTGAACTCACAGCAGTCCTCCTGCCTCAGTCTCGTGAGTGCTGGGATTATCGGCATGTACCACCATGCACGTCACTAGCTGTATGTATTTTGATTAGATAAGATCATGTGTGTTTAGTAGTCTGTTCTTTTTCTCTTATAAAACATTTCCAAATATTAGTAAACTTTGAAGTTTTATTCTTAATGGCTACATGGCATACAAAAAACATCTGTTACATGCCATGACAGTGTTTGAGGCTAGGGGTGCAGTGTCATTGTTGCAGTGTTAGGAATGTCACCAGGCCTTGAGCATGCTAGTTAGGCAGGTAGCACAGAGCTGTGTGCTGGTCGTATAGGAGCGCAGGGTTGATCCATTCTGATATGATGCTTCTCCTGAGACTCAGAGATATGTAAAGAAGTTCAGATCATAGATTCATCATAATTTATTTAAAGTATCTATATTATGTGATACAGAACATTTTAATTCTCTTCCTTCCAGGAAGATGCTGGAAGTCAAACCCATGGCCTTGTATGTGTTAAGTAATCCCTCTACCATGTGAACTACGTCCCCAGCCCCAATTTTTTTAAATTAAGAAAGTGTTACAATGAATGTATATAGAGATTAATATTTGTATATATTCCTATTTACATTCCTAAGATAACTTTCTATAGAGAAAACTTTCAAGTTATAAAATACAGCTCTTTTGAAATTTTTGATATATATATAAAAAAATACAATAGCAATATGTGAAAAAGCCTATTTTCCTATACATTCATCAAACTAGATATTATTCTTACTAATTTATCAGTAACAATTTTATATTTAAAAATTACATGAATATTAGTGAAATCGAGAATATGTTCCTTTGCAAAATGCTTACTTTTTATTTTTAATTTTTTTTTTTTTTTTTTTTTTGGTATGAGGGATCGAACTCACTATCTCGCGTTTACCAGGCAGGTGCTTATGCAGCTGAGCTACACCCTTGGCCCCAAAATTCTCTAAGAATTTACCTACTCTTGCACTATATCATATAATATATATTCTTGGCTTAATATGTTTTCAATATGTTTCATCTGGTGTAGCATGTATTAGTTTCTCAGTCCAATAGTATTTCTTTTTAAACACTTTTATTATTTTCTGCCTTGACAAAATGCTATTTTAAATATTCCCAGATTTGTTTTCAGAATGAGCATTTCTCCAGGGAGACCTCAGTTTTCACATCAGAAGAATGACTGCTCACCTAGTTGGGGACCTTCTAGGGCCCTAATAAAAATGTTATATAATCTGAATTTTAAGTAAGAATATTCAAGTATTCTGCAAAAAAGAAAGTGTTACAAATCGATTTTTATATTATGTGCTAGTAAATAGGCAAATTTTAGGTCTAAAATCTTATACAGTTATAATTGGTTTATAATTTTAAAAATAGTTTTTCACAGTTTGGGGACTGAACTCAGGACCTCATGCATGTTAGACAGACATTCTACCACTGAGCTACTCCCCTAGTTCCTAATTTGTAATTTTCTTTGCTAGGTTTTGGTATTTGGTATTAGGGTACTGTCTTTGTGGAATGAATTTATGAACCTTTCCAGTCTTCGTCTTACATAGAACAGTTTAAATATCATAGTGATTTATTTGTTTCTAGGATGAAGATATTTTATTATCCCAATAGTTGTTGGCTGATTTAATTTATAAAATTCAGCAAGGCATGGTGTCATACCCCTTGATCCCAGCACTGAGGAGGCTAAAACAAGCAGATCGCTGCAAGTTCAAAGCCAGTCTAGGCTACATAGTAAGTTCAAGGCCTACCTGCACTACAAAGTGAGACCTTGTCCCAAAAAGCGTAATAATAATATTGTTATTTATAACATCTAGATAATCCATCAGGCATATACTCAGAGTGAGGCAGGAGGATCACACTGCTCAAGGGCAAGATAAAATATATAGTGAGATGCTCTTTCAAAAAACTAGTAGGGATAAAATGAAGAGAAAGAAATCCAGAAAGTCAAAAGGAATAAAGAAAAGAAACTTAAAATACTTCCATGTTTATTTTAGTCTACCGGTCAATATAAAATACTGTGGAATATTATCTGCAGTATTTCTAAGAATTTACTAAACATTATCTGCTTTCATAATAATGACAGCAATAACCACAAGTTATAGAGCTCTGTTTTTTGTTTCAGAGGCTCAGGAGTTAGAAAATGTATGTTCTAATCCATGTTCTTTTCCTCATTTCTTATAAGCCGTACATACCCTTCAGTACTGGAATATAGGTGTAGTGCTTCTGAGTTTTTCTTTTTTTTTTCCCCCACAAAAACTATCTCAATACTTTATTTAAACTATGCCACCAAGTATCACATTTATATTAGTACATATTTTCAGGACACAAGGATTACATACATCATGTGGAGTTGGTACATGTATATTGTTGGAACCAGTCTATGGGTTTGTTCCTGACAGAAGGACACACACACGCACACACGCACACGCACACGCACACACGCACACGCGCCACGTGTGCATATGCGCGCACATGCGCAACATGAAGATGAAAAAGTGACAAGATTAGTTTAAAATCTAGGGGTCCAGGGGGTTCTTGTCTCACAAAGCCCTGAGCCTTTGGCTCAGCTTGCTTTTATTTATTGAGACATGGGTACAAGCAATTAGAATAACCCAAGATTTATGTGCCTCCCACCGTCCATAGTACATGTCTGGTAAACAGCTGAATCTCAGCTCCATTGATTTTACCCTGGAATCTACAACTTGCCAGCACATCTGCACACCACAGAAGGAGCACAGCTTGCCACCTGTCTCCTTTGTACACACAATGCTCAGTGTCTGAGCTCCTAGTCTCCCTTTTTTGTTTTGTTAATTGCAGCAGTAGAATATCAAGCATAGGTGTTCATCCCTAGAGGCAGTATGTAGGTGTAGTTATTCCGTTTGCTAGTCTTTAATGACTGTATCTCCACCCACAGTTGTAATGTATCTGGCTCTTTTCTAGGGCCTAGTTCTGTCTGACTGTCTGTACTATGACTAACTGAACTGTCACCCTTGGAGAAGTACCCCTAACTTCTGGGAGGGAGTAACGGATAAGAATGGGCATAGTGGGGGCTGGGGATTTAGCTCAGCGGCATAAGTGCCTGCCTTGCAAGCAGGCAGTCGTGAGTTCGATCCCTGGTACCGATAAAAATGAAAAAGACAAAAAAAAAAAAAAAAAAAAAAAAGAATGGGCATAGTTGGCTTAAGAGAGGCATAATTATGACCAGCAGTCAGAGATACTCTCAGGATCTATCTAAAAGACCTTAATAGATGCCAGTCATTCTTGTCTCACATAAGTATTGACAATAGATAAGTCTTTCTTTCTCCTGGATGGTTTTCTTCAGTTATCATCTAAGAGAAGCTCTCATTGGTGAAGAGAGCTGAACCATGGGCATGTCAGGGGGAGGACTTCTCCATGATCATACACTGCTAGAGGGTGCCCACATTATCTGTCCAATTCCTGGATCTACAAAGCAAACATCCACCCCCATGCCAGCAGGGTAGCTGATCCCTCCCATTTTTCTGTCTCCTGGGACCACCGTAACACTTATGCTTTCTCTTTTTTCCCTTGCTCTGTGCTTTTGATCAGTGTAATTCTGCCAGATTGCTGCCTGTATCACCAACAGGATTCAAAAAAGTAAGTGTAAACATTTCAAGATCAAGGCAAGCTTGTGGCTTATTAAGACTCATTAGTCCCCCTTTTTGTTTTTGTAATGGCTATTTTAATAATGTCAAATGTGCACGCTCAACAGTAACCTTTCCTGGTGGATTGTAATGAATTCCAGTAGAATGTCTAACATACTATTGCTGCAAAAATCTCTGAAAGCTCCCACTTATATAGGTAGGACCATTATCTGTTTTTAACTTTCTTAGGGGCTTCCATTTTTACAAATGCTAAGAGACAGTGTTGCTATATATGTCCATAGTCTCACCTACATGGCAGCTAGTAAAAAATAAGTATCTATACTAACATGCACATACTACTGAAGTCTGCCAAATTGAAATATATGTGTTACATCCATTTGCTTTTACCTAGAAGCCTTAGGAATTACTGCCTTCTGATGGAATTGATGTAGGTAAAGTCTGGTATACTGGACAAGATGTTACAGCAAAAAGAATTACCCATGGGACACAGAGTTTCAGAAACAAGTGAGGTTTCATTCAAAACTGCAGTGGCCAGTCCAACTCTCCATTAAAATCACTGGCTACTTGATACTGACAGGGCCTTGATTATTGTCCTCTTCTGTTATAAATCGCTGTATGAGTTTGCAAATTTAGGAGTTTCCATGGTACCACCTTTGCAGCACTATTATTGCTTTGGAATGTTACAAGACCTTATTATACATCTGGTTAATTGGCACAGAATGTGGGCACCAGGCAGTTTGGTGCCTTGAGATGAACCCATTTGCTTCCCTTTCCATGGTTTTTATATGACTGATTAAGGGAGAGGATGAGACTTTCTGGAGATCTGGCCAAAGTTCACTCACTGTTTAAGGTCTAACTAGGTATCTGAACTATAATTATAGGCCATAAAATAAGTGAAGTTTTCAAAACTAGGGTTTGGGGGAATCGCCAAAGGAAAAAAATACAAAGAAAAGAAAGCAAATGGAGTTACAAATACCCTCACAAAGATTGTACGGTGTGACATGCCTGTGATCTGGAAAGTTTAAAGGTAAAGATAAGGGCTTGAGTGATTTGATGGAAATAAGGATGGGAGAGCCTCGCCTGTTAGAAAATTAAGTCATGAGTCTATCAGTATGATGATTTCCTTCTGCCAGTGGTCCAGGAAGATTGGAGTGTGAGTGCATATGACCTACATAAAGAGGCAGCCCTATTCCAAATGGCTTCCTGCAACCACAAAAACAAATGGAACAGAGAGGAATCTAGGGTCCTTTTTGTAGTAGCTATCTCCATGCAATTAGTGACATTAATTACATAAGGCAGAATCACATAAAATGTTAACATGTTCTGCCAGAGTATATTCTAATAAGGTAATTAAAGCAACCAATTCTGATCTTTGAGCCAAAATTCCAGGGGTAGCAATTTTCCAGTAAGCAGGAAAGCCATGAGAAAATCCATCTGTAAAGTAAATTGAGGCATTCATAAGAGAAGTTGAATATTTCTAGGTAAAGTAAATAATAACAATATAACTGTACAAACTTGTTGGAAGGATGATTATCAACTAATCTTATATAATGTGGAAAGGCTGTCTGCCAGATTAAGGAAGTTTGTAATAAATGAGTATGCTGTGCAATATTAATAGGGAGCACAATACAATTAGGATCTTATCCTTAAAACTGTATGCTGAATTAGGTTAGCCATTTGATCTGTGTACATCTGAAGACTATTTATAGCCTAGTTAGGGAGATAAAACCATTCAGTAGGTTGACATTTATTATTCACTGCTTGACCAAAAAGTCTAGTAGGAGAAAGAGAAGTGGACAATACAGTTAGCATAAGAGACACAGTCAGACTAATTTGAAACACCTATTTGCTGCAGCAGTTATCTGTTATCTGGAGCTCTTTAAGGGCTTTTGGTCTGAAGGTATAGGGAGAATTCAAATCTAGATCTCCCTGTAATGCTTTATATAGATTGTTTAACTAATCTGTAGGTGCTCTTAATTTTGAGTGAATTCATTTAATATCCCTCAGTAATTTTTGTAAATCATTCAAAGTTTGTAACTATTCTCAGCTTAATGTTAATTTTTAGACTTGAGCTACTGTTTCCATTACCAGAGTCCCCAAGTAACTATAGAGGGAAATAGTTTAAATTTTCTTAGAGCTATGCATAACATATGTTGTAACAAAGCCTGTTTAGTTTTTGCAAAAAGGGTAAGTTGCTGCTGAGAATTGACAGGAAGCAATATATCACAGTAAGCAATATAATGTATTATGTAGGCTTGAGGAATTTTTTTCTAACAGGCTATAAAGCTTGACCAACAAAATAGTGACATAGAATTGGACTGTTCATGATGCCTTGTGGAAAAACTGTCCACTGAGATCAGTGCATCGTCTTGGCAAAGTTTGTAACAAGAATAGAAAAAGTAAAACAAAGTTGGTTCTACAAACTTAAAGGGATGGTATAAAAGCAGACCTTAAGATCAATAACTATCATAGGCCAGACTTGTGGCAGTATAGTGGGTTCAGGGAGTTCAGGCTGCAGAACACCCATGGGATAAATATATGTAGTAATAGTTCTTAAATCCTGAAGCATCATCTACTTTCCTGATTTTTTTGGTATAACAAAAACAAGAGTATTACAGGGGCTAATGGAAGGCTAATGAAGTGTTTCTCCTTCAACTGTCCTATTAATGCTTGAAAGCAAAAGAACTTCTCCTTCACTAGGAGCCATTGATCCATACAAACAGGAACATCAGTTTTCTATTTTAATGAGAGAGTGGTTTTGGATGAGAAGCCACAATGATCCCCATTAAAAATTTGTTTCATAGGCAGGCATGGTGATACATGCCTGTAATCCCAGCACTTGGAAAGCTGAGGCAGAAAGATTCTTGTGAGTTCAAGGCCAGCTTGAGCTACCAAGTGAGCTCAAGGCCAGGCTGAACTGCATAGTAAGACCTTGTCTCAAAAAGAGAAAGAAAAGAGAAAAGTCTCATCATCAGGTTACTAGAATCTTCCCTTTCATCCCTCTGGTAGACTTTCATTGGTTTAGCCATCTTTTTATCAACAGGTGGGATTGTTTTATTAGTAATTTGAATTCACCATTATTTCTGCAGATCCCTGCCCTACCAAATGACTAGGATCCCTGCAATAAAAGGCTGAAAACTCCCTTAAAGCTATCAAGGCAAACATAGGACAGATGGGCAGCACTGTGAAAGACCTTTCTGGGTAATTTGAGCCCCACCAGGGAGGTGACTGCTGCTGAGGTGGACCAGACAGGTGGCCACTGGAATGAAGCTATCACTGAAACATCTATCCCCCTGTCCATGTGCCCTTGAAAATATTTTCCTTTAATCTTAGGAGTATCCGTGGGCTGGTGGTCTGTGATCTCTTGAATGAGTAACACCTCCAGAGGGCTTAGGAGTGTGCTGCTTAATTTCTCGACTGCTAGCTGTGGTTCTAACAGCTAGTTAAAGAATCAGTTTGAGCAATATAATTTCATGGTTCAAAGACACAGACAACATGTAACTGAACCACAACCTGAATTTCCCCCTAGTAGTCAGAATCAATAATCCCAGAAAGTACTTCAACACCCTGTAGGCTTACCTACTTTTTCCTAGGACTAGACCCATAGTACTTAAGGGATGAGGCTCCCAAATTCATGGGGATTTTAGCAGATTTACCTCCACCAATCATGTCATCCATTCAGCAGCAAGAACGTCTAATCCTATGTTTTCTGGGTTTCCAGTGATAAGGGACTCAACCATCTTCCAGAGACTCACTATTGTTGGGTTTGGTGCCAGGCCCACAGCCTATTTCCCACCAGTGGGGTGCTATCTTGATCATACTTAGAATGATGTTGATTAGCCCAGTGATTTGCTTTTTGACATGTCAGATGAGAACTTGGTGCTTTGCCCTCCAGGAGAGGGAGAATTGTACATTTCTTGCCTGAGGATGAGTGCACAGTTTCACAGTTCAGGGATATTCCCTGTTTCACCACAATTAAAGCATTGTATCTTTGAAGAAGCCTGATTTTATTTAATTAAACCAAATACAGCTTGAGCAAACATAGAGGACTTTGGTACCCACATCTTAACATACTTTGAAATAGTTTCCAAGATTCTTAATTGTTCAAGGGACCCTACTGCTTACAATCCTTAATAGCATTCCCAAAAGCCAGATGCAACACAATAATCTCTGTTGCTTGTGTCTGTAGTATCCTGCAGCCTGGCTTAGAATTGGGACTTGAGGCTCCCAAGACCTCAAAGAATGTGTGAAAAAGGACTGAGTGGGAATACCTTCCTCAGGAATGGTTACCCAGGCTTGTTTCATCATGAGAGCCATTTGCTGATAAGCCTGCTCCAGAATGGTTAACTGTGAGATTAGATCTGAGTGTGGACTTTCTTCCAATAGCATTTCCTCAGTAATCTCAGGATGTTCTGCCATGTGATTCTGTTGTGCTTGCTCATCTGCTAACTCATGAAAACTAACATGGAAATTTGAGTTTTGTCCTGCTGAAAGGGAGGATCGAGCCAAGTGCTTGATGTCTAAAGGAGTTAAGTGCAAAGCTGCTAGGAAAGACTCTAATAGGCCCAATGTGAAAGGTCCTTGAGATCCATTGTTTATGATATTAGATTTTAATTCTTTAAGAACTTCTACTCCAAAGGATTATGCTCATGAACATTTCATTATGGATTGTTAGGTAAGGATGAATATTAATTAGAGATGCACACATCCCAAAGGACTACTCTCCGTTAAGCACAGCCTGTCTAACCAATCTTTGATAAGGGGACACTACTTCTGTCTCAGCCATTGATGGAAGGGAAGAAAGAAAAGGAGGAAGAGATGGGGACCAGGGCTCTTCACTCTCATTTTTATCTTCTCTCAAGGGTACGCTAGGTATGAGGTGTTTTCCTGTAGTTAAAGGATAGAACTGCACAGACTAAGCTCCATGTGGAGGTTTCAGGGATATAGATGAGCTGGGTAGGAGCACACTCTAAACCCTCTCTCATTCAGTCC